AAATCGAAATTTGCACTCAGAATCACGCACGTAAAGGTTTGTTTTTGCATTGTATTTTTTGTCTTGAAAAAGAAAAGACGACTTTTTCGCTGGAAAAATTTACGACAATATTACGTAATGCAACTATAATTGCTCAACTGGAGTGAACTTTTTAGATGTGAGTATGGAAAATTGGATGGAATAGTAACAAATTATAGATAATTTGTACTGATCGAATGAAGATACTGTCTTGTCTTGTGAATGAATAGTCAAGTAAACGATTGCAGACTATTTGGAAAACAACTGGCTGGTCGTATTTTGAATTCTGAGCGTTTAAAGGAATATTAGTAATACTAATTGATAAATGAAATGAAACCTTTCAAAAGTAAATGTAGCTATCGTTTAGATTGCAGTTGTTTCTGTTTTCATTTACCCAAAAGTTTTGCTTATGTGCGATGGCTTCAATAAATTACTGACGAGGACTGAGAGGATGTCATTGTCATTCATATATTATTGGACGAGCAATTTTATTCGGAGCAAAACTTGAACAGTATAACTTAGGACTTTTGATCACTATAGAGCAATCAATACGTTCATATCAGCAATAGGCGGATCGCGATCTTCGAGCTAACCGTCTTCTCAGGTTTNGGAGATATAGGCATTTTATAAATACTATCTCGGGTGCCACCTTCAAGGCTACCGTAAACTCAAGTTTGATTCATTATTTTATTCGGAGCAAAACTTGAACAGTATAACATTAGGAGCATCAACTATGTACACAAATGTGCAACATAAAGCAATGATTCTCAGCACATCTTTCACCGTAAAACAATAATTATTATTAATAAGGTTATCAATTGCTATCAGCATGACAATTGCAGATCATATCTGACAAATATCATCAGTATTAAGTGGATATTTCAGTCGATAATTTATTTTTGATCATCGTTGTGATCATCACTGGTGTCGGTTCCAGGTGATTTGAATGCGTAACAGGTGATATTTTCCTTGGCTGTTTGACAAAACGACTCAGTATAGGCCACGTAGGAAAAGTCGCCATTCGCGCAAATCACGTTGAATTTCCCCGACAATTCCTTTTCGGCCGCACCTTGAATGGCTCGTTTCGATGTGCTCGGGTCTGTGTCGATATTCTGAAAGGATTTCATTCAGATAACACGAGCTTATCCTCAATACCGAGCCAATCAATCGAATATATATGAATATTCTGAATTAAATCATACTTAAAAACACATTATAAAAATAAATTGAATAGGGATAAAGACTAAATCCTTACAAGAAGCTAATAAGCTATCTTTACGATAGCTTATTACGAAGTTAAAGTGAATCAATAGAATGTCAGTACTGAAAGACCAACAGATCAGAAAATGAGTCAACAAAATGTAAGTCCGAACCTTGAGCATGATATCTTTCAGCTGGTGATTATTGCAAGATGGATCTTCATCAGCCACCGAATTCTCAGCACCAAAAATACGTGCTCCGTGCATGGCTCGTGCGCGTGCACGGAACTGACACGGTGATGCACAGAAGCAACAGCAGTCGTTTTGAGGTAGTGGCACTGCCATATAGACGGGTAATGCACGGACTATTGGCATGGGTCGGGGCGGAGGAATCAACGGCATCTGAAAAGGAATAAACGGCATCTGAAAAGGAGTAAACGGCATCTGAAAGTGGGAAAAAATATGATTAATTAAGCTGGAAAATCCGATTAAAGCATTTTGTTGCATAAAATAATACTTTCAATTTCGATTAGTCACCTTCATAAAACAAGCAATTCAGAGTTCATCGTAATTCAGATTGTAATTCAGTGATTCTGATTGGATCATAAAATTCCGCAACCATAAAATTTGACTAACTCACCGGACAAGGAGCCGGAGGTAATACAGGAGGACATATTCTTGGAGGTGGTGGTGGAGGGGGAGGGGGACATATGACGGGTGGAGGACAAATGGCTGGAGGGCAGATGCGGGGTGGAGGACAGGGTGGTGGGAGCGGAGGGCAAACCCTTATTTCAGGAAGTGGGCAGGGTGGCGGAAGGCATGGCATACATGGGGTACACACTTGACATGGTACACACGCTCGACATCCACATCCATAACTTTGCACCGGATTGAAATAGTGCATAGCAATGAATATTAAGAATATCTGTGATTGCATTTCGATCTGCAAAATTATTTGAGATCAAACTAATTGTATGGCGCATTCCGCATACATCATAATTTCGGTGAACAATTGTAACAAAATATTTTAAGTAAAATATTATTTTAAGCTTCGGCGTTCTCATGTTTTCTTGTTCCGTATCAACTCTGGTCACAGTGCAGACCTCCACTCCCTCGCTAAAGCATACGGAAAAAAAAATTCGGATAGCATTAATTTTCCAGCCACCTCAATTGATCTCAGATAACCTCAAAGTCTCGTTCATGCGATAATTTGCCCCTACGAGAACCGATGTCCGGTTGATGAAGTAGTCAGTTCCAATCTCACATACGAACTGTTATACAGAAACGGAATATCTTAGTTGAAATTCCCAAGAGATGTAGTAAAAAAACAGCCATAGTAAAAGGAGGACGACGTTAACACTGATACTTTTCTGAAGAAGTTGATCATCAATGATGAATATAAACTGACAAAATAATATCAATTAGTTCCGCTGATATTTTGGAATTAATTCGTCAAATACGTTGTATTCACTCAATACATTACAAACAAGAGTAAAAGTACGATCATGATAACAACCTGCATGAAATCAATGATGAACAAACTATCGAAAATAGGTATGAGCGAAGGTATAAACGGAATTCTTGTTGTAGTATTATCACATAACTATTATTCAATATAACTCAAACCAGTTGAAACGATACTAAAATTGAATTGAATTAAAATGAATTTTGTGAGATGAGGACAAAGACAAGAAATTTTACAGTAAATATGCTCAAAATGCAAGAGTTTACGTTGTGAAGATAGAAATTTTGGAGTACTTTGTAAGTACAATCGAAGAGTAGTCACTAAGTTTACGAGTGAATCATTTTCTGTGATCCGTCTAAAGTAAAGCATCAATATGTGATTCCGTTTATATATGAAATGCGATCGGTGACTGAGTTGCACTTTTTTTCTTCAGTCAATTGAAACGAAATTCACGAATGCATCTTCTCTTCTGAAAAAGTGTGCCTGACAATTAAGAACCCCTCTGGCAATACCGGATGATTCGAAGAATAGAGCAGACCGATTTGTGTATGTGTTATACAACAGGTATGTGTGTATGAGTGAATTTGAGAGAGTATTTATCATCGTATCACGAGTTATTGATACGTATGCATTGTGAAACATCTTAGGGTACTAGCAAAACTGGACGCAAAAAAGCTGGATGAGAATTTAATTGTGATTGTTAGTATTGTTGAATTGATACGTTGCTTAATTTGATGACTTGCTTGGCAAACTATTCAAAATACTTGTTATTGCAGTATCAATTATGCATGCACACCACACAATCATAACAATGATTCATATCGTTCAACATTAATTCCCCAAACAGGCTAGAGGAATCCTTCTTGAAGTGTTACAATTTTTTTGCCGACGAAATTGACCGTTGCAGATATTATCTCTCAGAAGATCACGAATGATCAAAACGATTCGTGACCATCGACGGGTTCTATGAATGCACCTAAACGCTTTATCATTCGAAAGGATTAATACAATTGAGCAAATCACGACTCAGCCACTCAAGAATGGTTTCAATTGAGCATACTTAGAATATGTTTCGATTTCATGACAGTTTTTTCAGTTGTCGAGACGACACCTTTTAAGTGAATCATTCAACGATGAGGCGATTATTGAAATCGGATTTCTCATTCAAATACTGTATTCTCGTTCCAGCGGATGATACAGGTTGAGGTAATATCGAATATTCCATCGTTTTTTAGTCGGATATATCCGTTGAAAAAAACACAACTTCATCAATGAATATTTGATATTTTAACGCTCAGTTAATCTTGTTGCTTTTTCAAAGTTTTACGTGCTGACGCATAAGCCAGGAATGTTCATATTTCAAATAAAATGTTCATATTTCAAATAAAAACTTGATAAACCAGGTGGAAGCACAATTTTGTCAAAAGGTGTGATCATTACAAATTCATTTATCTTTCCCTGCAGATCAAATGTTTCGAAAATGATGACGCTTCTAGCTGATGCATCTTGAACTGTTAAAATTCGATTCATTCTTTCGGAAACTGTTCATTTTAAATCTAGGTGCGAAAGTTATTCATAATAAATGAATCCGCTACCACTTTTATTCCAATGTTTTATTATGGCTCATTCAGTCCTAAAATTTCTTGTCACTGCGCTTTTATATGAAACTTACGTTTAGTGGTATCTTTTGATTCACTCAAAATTTGTCATTGCACTAAATGCGCTGATCATTTTTTTGGAGGACGCTGACAATGAAACGAAATAATT